CAAGCAATGATTGAAAACCCTATGGAGCACAGTTCTACTCTGACACACATGGGGTTGCTATAAGTTGGCATTGACTTGACAACAACTGGTTACCGGTTAGGGCTTTCTCCTACAAGAGAGCCTCATTTCAAAAATTTAAACTTTCTTTTCTGGACTTTTTATTATTTCCAGTGAAACAAGGGCTCATCCCAAGTTTTTACTAATTATTTTAAAAATTATCTTCTGGGTCGTTCCAAATGCAAGGGTAAAAAGAAATCTGCCTTCCTTTCTCTTTCATCTATTGTACTAAAGTTTCCCTTTAAGGTAGGTAAGCCCCATTTTACAGGGAGGAAACTTAGGATAAGAGAGGGTAAGTGACCTACCTAGGGTCACACAGCTAGATAATGGCAGAGTCAGGGGTGGAACTCAGGCCTGGCTGACTCCATGCCACAAAGTAAGGCAACCTCCACCACCCCTCTCCTACACACTCATCTGTGGTGTCCCCCTTTCTGGCTTCTGCTCTGCCCCAGCACTGCTAGTGAATGACTCCTGGGAGCCTCTTTACCTCTGTCCCAAACTCAAACAGCCCCTGCTTCTGCACGTCTCTTACCTGCATAAGGAGCCTTGGCCCCTCCTGTGCTGGCGTTGGCTTTCAACATCTTACCCTGCCTATCTGTTGTCTGAGATTCCCTTTTACTCCTCCCAGGCTCAGCTTTCCCCATTCCCCTGAAATTTCCTTCTCCCACGCCCCTGGTGGAGTCCCGCAGGGCTGGGTGGCTTGTCATTGCATGTCTCTCTTCAACTCTTTTCTCAGTCCCATCCGTCAAAAATCTGTCAGAACATTACCACACCTGCCCCTGCCCCTGCCCTGCAGCTGACCGGTAGCAGCTTTCCCTTAGTGATCAGCTCTGAGAGGTGGGTGTGGGTCTCTGGGATTGGAAGTGTTCTGGTACTCTGTCATCCAACACTGACGGGAGCAACCTTAGATGCAGGGTACCTTGTGGGAGGCTGGGGAAAGAGGATGTTAGGAAGGCACTCAGAGACATGGAGGACTCAGTCTTGCTTTCAAAAGGCTTATAGAGAACACACACACACACATACGTACTCATAGGCACTCACATGCATGCACACACACACGTGTGTGAAAATGAGCTAATCAGTACGTTAATATACACTTGAATCTGGCAGCAACTGAACTTAGAGAAAGAAACCAGCTGAGAGGTTGAGGGTATTACTCAAGGAAAACTCCCTGGAGGAGGCGAGACGTAGATCTTTCCATTGTCCAGAGTAGAGTAAATAATCACATTTATTCTCATGGCCAGATGGACGGAAAACAGATTCAGGACCCAAATGCCCAGGAACTGAGATCTTAGGTGCCCCAGAGTTGACTACCGACTGGTTTGTAGAGTGAGTTGCCGAGGCAACTGGAAGGTCTTTCAGAGAAGAGAAGAGTAGGAGTGGGTTTGGAAGAAGGAAAAGGGAAGAGGAGGGCTGGATAGTTTGGGCAAAGCAAGGAAGTGGAAGAGTCAAGGCGTGGGGCTGGGTGAGCGAGTGAGCAGGGGAAGATGCAGGTGAGGTAGGTGATGAAGGCAGGCCAAGGACAAGCGGAGGCCCAGGGGGTGAAGGCAGGCATGCGTGCTGGAGTTGGACAAGCTTGGTTCTAAGTTTCAGCTCTGCCGGTTACCAGCTTGGTGACCTTGGGAACATATTTTAACCTCCATGAACCAAAGTTACCTTTTCTTTAAAATAGGTTAATAGCTACCACCACGTGCACTTTTTTGACATATAAATGATAATGCACATAGTTCCTAGCACATAGTTGGTGCACCATAGATGTTAGTACCTTTTTCTCCTCTCGTTTTATTTTACAAATGCAGAGGATACAAATAAGCCAGGAGTTGGGGTGTGTGGTTCACATCTTTGTCCCCAATTTTATTTTTAATGTCCCCACACATCCACCACAATCATGGGAAAAGCACAGAAAATAATGAACTTGACTAATTGGCAGCATTACTATTTCCAGTCCTGTTGGGTTGCCTCAAAAGAGAGCAGTGGAAACAGAATAAGAGTTGGATTCAGACGTCAGAGTGCTTGTTCCAGCAAATGATTGCACAAGTTGAACAATTTTTTTTTTTTTTTTTTGTACTTCTTTGGGCCTGTGTTCTCACTTATCTGATAGGCGGGTTAGATGGTATAGTCTTTGAGTCCCTGTGGATGGGAATATTCTGTGATTCTCTGTGCACTTATTCATAGACACCAATTCCATCTGCCTGTTCTTGAGCCCCTTCTCCAGTTCAAGAGGAAGAGCACTTGAACAGAAACCAGAAAATTCAGGTTCTAGTCCCAGTTGTGTCTTTTCCTAGCCTGTGCATCCAGAGTCACCTAATCTCTGAGCTTCAGTTTTCTGTTTTGTAAAATGAGTTGATAATCGCTCGACTGCCTAGTTCTCAGCGCTCTTGTGGAGATAGTGTTTGTGTATGTCCTTGGTGAACTGTGCAAATTGTAAGCTGATGGTGATTTTTATACCTTCTTGTTCCTTCTAGCTCTTGCAACTCTCCCTCCTCATAGTAAGTAGCACATAGAGTAATGTTTTGCAGCTCTGTGAATAAATTGTCTACCAGTTGCCTAACCATCCACCTCTTGGAGGTTTCTCTATGTCAGTTTCTTAGTTTGGGGACAGAAACACAGATTGCTGCAAACATTTGTTTTGTCTGGCAGAGGTAAAAGACCGAACACATGCGTTCACACACACATGCATGTGTACACATACGCACACTCCTCCAAAATGCCAGAAGGAATTGATTGTAGAGAATGATATGTCTCATGAAGGAGTATACTGAATTAAAGAGTTTTGATTGCCTGTCAGAAGACGATTAGGTAACAGTCATTACCACACCAAGAACATCCCAGTCCCCACTGTTCCCTGTCAAGAACAAGATGCGGATTTCTCATTCCCTCAAGAGATGGTTGGTTTAGGAGATCAACAATTTTACAGGGTGCTAGGACAGAGTCTGAAAGAAGCTCCATGGTGCGGGTAGAGGAGAGGTGAGGGGCGCTTTCTGGAGGAGGGTAGGTCATAAACTTCGGGAAGGGAGGAGGAACAAGGCTCTGGTAAAGTGTTGAGTAGAGAGGACTGACATTCAGCTTCCTAGTTCAGAAACACAGGGCAATGGGACAAGATGATCTTCAAGACTCCCCTTCTCCTACACGTCCTATATTCCCTAGTAGAGATTTCCCGTAACAAGTCTATGATTTATCACTCACAACCTCTTATAGAGCTGCTCTGAGTCAGCTGAGCTCAGAGCTGGCTTCTCCCTGCTGTGTTTACATGCAAGCGTGGGGAGCATGCCAAACTTCTAAGAAATCTCTGAATGAAAGTCTGTGTGGGGTTCTGGTCTTTCCAGATCTCAGTGCCACTACTGTCCACTAATATTGATCAAATGCTGCTGTCCAGGAAGGTTCCTGGGATTTCCTGGTTCACCGTAATGCATGTTGGGTACTTGTGCACCCGAACGGAAGAAAACGCCCCACTGAACTTCACGCTTCCATCTCCCCTTCTCAGAATTAATTGAAGCAACACTTCCTAAGTGCTGGCTATGTTCCAGGAGCCAAGGATTCAAAGGGACAAGCTAGACCTCCTGCTCTGTGAGCTCTCTGCAGTGGCACAACTCCCCATGCTGTCTGGACACTTTGGATTCAGTTGCTATGCTGCTGTACAACAGACTAGTTAGGATCTTGCCCACTAGAGTCAAGCATCCTTGGTTCAAATCCCAGCTATGCCACTTAGCACCTGTGTAAACATGAGTTAGTCAAGCTCTGTGCCTCAGTTTCCTTATCTTTAAAATGAGGATAGTAATAGCATCTATCTCATAAATTTGTGAAAATTAAATGAGTTAATACATATAAAATACATAGAACAGTGCCTGGTACATGGTCAGTTTTTGATAAATGTTAGCTATTACTATTATTACTTCCAGAAACAATTTAAATGCTTCTCAGATCAGGCTTTCCAGGCTCCCATCATTATCCTCCCTTCCAAATCTACTTTCATGTTCCTTGTAGTCCAGTGTGAGGTTTGAACCATCAGCCTACAAGCCTCATCTCCATAACTTTGCTTTAAAAAATGTATTAAATAGCTTCTGTTTGCTCATTTCGCTATGCATAAGCAACTTCAAGTCATGTTTGCATGCCATCCATTGCACCTGTTTTCTGTTGCTGATGTCCCTGTCTTGTCTCTGGTGTCTGTCTTCTGCACTGGACAGTCTTTGAGGAAATGGAGCAACTAGGGAACTTAGGCAAGAATCCAACTTTCCCTTCTGGTCCGTCAGAGCACCTATCCGTACATCCTGTTGTATGACAGCTTCCCTCCTTTAATATTAATGCACTATGCTTATAGAGCTTACATTAAAAAAAAAAAAAAAAAAAACTTCTTTTAATTTTTTACTTATTAAAGACCTTACTCTGCGGCAGGAGATCTAACTCAGTTTGCTCTGGGGTTTGGAGGGCAGATCTCAAAAGTGAAAGGGGCCAGAGAGTTTCTTCTGAGATTCAAGACTGGGGAATTGCACCTGCCATGCATGCAGACAGATTGGGTTTAGCAGCTTACAAGGATAAGGCAAGAATGGAAATTTACATAGCTTTGTGATGGAGGGGTTAGGAATTCCTACCAAGAAGCACCAGATAGCAGATGTGTGGTCCTGCTTTCCCAAAGTCATGAACACTCGAAGAGAGATCTTGTCTAATAAAATGATTACCACATGAGCCGATCTTGCCTGCTCAGCAATTTTGAGAGCCCATCCTGGGAGCTAGGTGTGTAGTGTTTTTCTTATTGCTGAGGCTTATAAAAATCTAGTATGGCTGCAGGCAAGCCAAACCCTTGAGAGACACTGCATCACTGCTGACTCTGGTGGACCAAGCTCAATTTCCTCCCTGTATATGAGGAGGGGGCTCTGTGCTTGGGGTAGAGGAGTTTTTAGCTCCTTCCCTCTCTCTACTCTGCTCCTACTTTTCTCTAAGTCAACATGAGTCGACAATTTAGTTCCAAGTCTTTGTGCCAGAGTGGAGGAGGCTTCAGCTCTGGCTCTGGTGTTGTCAGCTCTCCGTGCCGGACCAGCAGCAGCTCTGTGCGCCGTAGTGGAGGAGGTGGTTGGAGATTTTCAAGCTGTGGTGGTGGAGGTGTTGGTGGCGGTGGCTTTCAAAGTCGGAGTCTTGTTAGCCTTGGTGGCAGTAAAAGTATCTCCGTAAGTGTGGCTAGAGGAGGTGGACGTAGTTATTTCGGTGGTGGTTATGGCGGTGGCAGCTTTGGTGGTGGTGGCTTTAGTGGCAGTTATGGCAGTGGTGGACGTTTTGGTGGTGGTGGTTTTGGCTGTGGAGGTGGTTTTTGGCCTGTCTGTCCCCCTGGTGGCATTCAGGAAGTCACCATCAACCAAATCCTTCTGCAGCCCGTCCTTGTGGAGATCGACCCTCGGATCCAAGAAATCAAGTCTCAAGAAAGGGAGCAAATCAAATCACTCAACAACCAATTTGCCTCCTTCGTTGACAAGGTGAGTTTACCTGATCAGTGCTTTGGGAGATCTGCTCCAAGTTCATCTGAGATTGGTACAGCCAAGAAATGTTTTCTGTGTTTGAATGATTAAAACGATATTTCGTGGGATAGTCTTGTAGGAGACATGTTAGTGGTATGCTTGTGAATGATGATAATGACTCAACTCTCTTGGACAAGGAGGTCTGTGGTCCACCTAAACATGGCTCAATATGACATTTATCTCTAAGTGTTTTCTTATTCAGCTCTTGAATGGAATTTGTACTCAACTCTGTTGAATGGAGATAATAGAAATGGGGCTAACTTAATGTTCTGGGGTGCAAATGAGAACCCTGGAAAGGTCTTCCTATCCATAAATAGGGAGCTGAGTATGAACATAGTGCATTGTGATATTGTAGCTGAAATTATGAAGTAAGTCAGTACTAAACATGTTTTGCTGTCAGAAGCTCCATCCTCTGGTAATTTTACTTTGGTCCTGGATCAGAGTGGAGATATTTCTTATACTTCCAAGCATCAGTTCTGGAACAACACACAAACCTTTCTTTACTTTTTGCTGAATAGTCAGCAATGTTAACTCAAAGTTATCCACAATAAATTTTGAATACAGCTTTGGATTTTCCTAATATATTTTTGAGCTGTGTGCCCAGGAAATGCAAGCCAATTTTTATGGTAATCTACCTGAAAACAAATTGGAAGCCAAATCGCTTAAATGTCATGTATCTATTTCAAACCATAATTGTGATAATTTTGTTTTGTGTAGTTGCTCCCTTCCAAAGTTCCAACTGAAACAGGACTATAATTACTGTTCTCAGGGAAATTAAATGTTTTCTGAATTTAGCAGTGAGTTGGATTTTGTTGTGAAGATGATGTTAACTTGATCATCGTCTTTTATTTCTCTGTCATGGCCAGGAAAACAGATATTGAAGTTCTGTTCCAAGTAAGGCAGGGACATTGCTGTGTGGTGGTCCTTGGCACTCAGAGGCCATGGGACCCAAGTGGGTACCAGTAGGTAACAGGGTCTTGTGTTCTTAAGTGAGGTTCCTGGAGCAGCAGAACCAGGTGCTACAAACAAAATGGGAGCTGCTGCAGCAGAAAGACACCTCCATTAAAATCTGCACTTTGGAGCCCTTATTTGAGCAATACATCAGCCACCTCAGAAATAGAGTGGACCAACTGAAGACTGACCAGTCTCTGAAATGTTTGGAACTGAAGAACATACAGGACCTGGTGGAGGATTATAGGAGGAAGTAAAGAAGCCTGACTGGGCAGTTCTTGACTCCTGTTCTAAAAGATTTCCCAGAGAGCGGCAGGCTAAGACTATGGATCTCTATGTTGCAAGTCTTTTCTTAAGTTAGAGGCAAATCGGGTTGGCATTTGTGGAAATCTTCATTTTCTCAGAAGGTGGAAGTAGTTTAGTGGTTTTATTGCTGAGAAGAAGAGGGTGGTCAAGATGTTCTAGGTTAGTAATAGGAAAGCAATGATAGGCAATGCCACTTTTAGTCTAGGTTGCTGGACTTCAGACTTACCTCTTCTGCACCTCCTAATCACCTCTACCTTCCAACAGGTATGAGGATGAGATCAACAGGCAGACTAATGCAGAGAATGAATTTGTGACCCTCAAGAAGGTGAGCACATTCTTTATGGATGAAGGTCACATCTGAAATGAATAATAAAAGAGGGTCTGCAAATACTAGTCAGAAAGAAGTCAGGATGTGGAGAACCAGGCCCAATGAATATCTGAAACTGAGCTCCACCCCTGCCCCCCATTATCATGGACCTGGACTTATTCAGGCGTTCTGTTTCTCTTGATTTCTCAGCACCTGGTGTAGGGAGCAAGGAGGCAAGTTCTCAGCAAGTCAGCCAAGCTCCCTTGATTGTGAGACCAAGGGGTAGGGTAATTCAGGAATTGTGATCCACCCAGAGTAAAAATGAGTAGACTCCCAACTTCTACTTGGAAAAGCCCCTCACAGCTGATGACTTGTCCTTGGACGAATATGGCTTCACGATGTCTGTTGTTCCTCTAGGATGTGGATGCTGCTTATATAAACAAGGTGGACCTTCAGGCCAGAGTTGACAACTTGCGTCAGGAAATTGAGTTCCTCACAACACTGTACCAAACAGTAAGTTTTCTAATATCAACCAAGTTTACCCACCTGGAGAACCTTTAAGCCTAAACCCACCACTAGCCAAGAAAATACAGGTGTATCTTCCATATCTTGATTGATGTCCCGCCTAAGCTGTATGTTGTTTTAACAGTATAAGAGTCACCAGACTATTATGTCTT